CTGTGACCCCCCCCAAAATCCACCCTAAATTCCCGGCCCCCCTGTCCCGGGCCGCTCCCAGGCTGGCTCCGTGCCCACCCTAAAAATAAAGCGGAGCAGCGGCGCCGGGGGGGCTGCGGTGGGACCGGGGGGGCTCGGTGGGACCCCCGGTGACGCCCCCAGCCCCGCAGCTCTTTGGTGCTTGCGGGGAATTTGGTGGTTTTGGTGTTTTCGTGGGATTTTGGGTGGTTTTTTGGGCAGAGCCACCTGTGGAAGTTTTTCCTCCCGGTTGTGTTTATCCCGAGGTTTTTGGGGGTTTTTTTGGGAGGGTTTTTTTTTTTGGTTCCCTCGCTGGGGGGTGAGGAGGGTGAGGAGGGTGAGGAGGGCCTTCCTCCCGCCCCAGCCCTTCCTCACTGCCCTTCCTCTTCCTCCCCACAGGGACGCCACAGAAGTATGACCCCACTTTCAAAGGTCCCATCTATGACAGGTCAGCAGAGCCCCACAAAGTCCCCAAACCCGGGGTCCCCAAACCCGGGGTCCCCAAGTCCAGGGTCCCCAAATCCGGGCTCCTAAAATCCAGCGTCCCCAAATCCAGGGTCCCCAGACCCAGGGTCCCCAAATCCAGGGTCCCCAGACCCAGGGTCCCCAAGTCCAGGGTCCCCAAGTCTAGGGTCCCCAAACCCAGTGTCCCCAAGTCCAGGGTCCCAAGTCCAGGGTCCCCAAATCTGGGGTCCCCAAATCCAGGGTCCCCACATCCAGTCAGGTGAGTCAGTGTCCCCAAAATCCAGGGTCCTCAAGTCCAGGGTCCCCAAACTCGGTGTCCCCAGACCCAGGATCCCCAAATCCAGTGTCCCAAAATCCAGGATCCCCAAACCCAGTGCCCCCAAACCCAGTGTCCCAAACCCAGTGTCCCCAAACCCAGGATCCCCAAACCCAGTGTCCCCAAACCCAGTCCCCAGACCCAGAGTCCCCAAACCCACAGTCCCCAAACCCAGTGTCCCCAAACCCAGTGTCCCAAACCCAGTCCCCAAACCCAGTGTCCCCAGACCCAGGATCCCCAAACCCAGTGTCCCAAAATCCAGTGCCCCCAAACCCAGTGTCCCCAAACCCAGTGAACCAAACCCAGTATCCCCAAACCCAGTGTCCCAAACCCAAGTCCCCAAACCCAGTGTCCCAAACCCAGTGTCCCCCAGAGTCCCCAAATCCAGGGTCCCCACATCCAGTCAGGTGAGTCAGTGTCCCCAAAATCCAGGGTCCTCAAGTCCAGGGTCCCCAAATCTGGGGTCCCCAACCTTGCTGTCCCTGCTGGCAGGGGCTGCAGTCCAGGGTCCCCAAACTCAGTGTCCCCAAATCCAGGGTCCCCAAACTCAATGTCCCCAAATCCAGGGTTCCCAGGTCCAGTGTCCCCAAACCCAGTGTCCCCAAACCCAGTGTCCCCAAACCCAGTGTCCCCAAACCCAGGATCCCCAACCCAGTGTCCATGTCCCCAACCCAGTGTCCCAAACCCAGTGTCCCCCAGAGTCCCCAAACCCAGGATCCCCAAACCCAGTGTCCCAAACCCAGTGTCCCCCAGAGTCCCCAAACCCAGTGTCCCCAAACCCAGTGTCCCCCAGTGTCCCAAACCCAGTGTCCCCAGCCTTGCTGTCCCCGCCACAGGGGCTGCACTGACATCGTCTGCTGCGTGCTGCTGGTGGTGGCCATCGTGGGCTACGTGGTGGTCGGCGTCGTGGGTACGTCCTGGGGGCTCAGGGCGGGGGTCTGGGGGCTGCAAGGGGGGGTGACCACGGCCTCATCGTCCTGTGCCCCCCAGCCTGGACCCACGGGGACCCCCGGAAGGTGATCCACCCCACGGACAGCCGCGGGCAGTTCTGCGGGCAGCAGGGGACCCCCAACGAGTGAGTGCCGGGCCGGGGGGGTGAGGAGGGTGAGGATGGAGAGACCCCGAATCCCTCGTGGGAGCGTGGCGGGGGTTTTTCCCCAAACCGGGCGGTTTTTGGTTTGTTTTGCAGGAAAAAACCTTTCCTTTTTTACTTTGACATCGTCAAGTGCGCGAGCCCGCTGGTGCTGCTGGAGTTCCAGTGCCCGACCACGCAGGTAGGACCCCGAGCCCCCTCGGCGTTCCCCCCGAATTCCCCGCGGAATCCTGAGCCTGCAGCCCCCTCCTCGTGTCCCGTTCCCGCGCAGATCTGCGTCAGCAAATGTCCAGACCGGTACACGACGTACCTGACGGCCTACGGGAACCCCGCGGCGCTGGAATATTACCGGAATTTCTGCACCCCCGAGTTCAAGAGCTCGCAGAAGGTGGGCTCTGGGCTCGGGGTTCCCGTGCTGCGCGGTGATTCCTGCCCCGAGCGCTGATGTCTGGCTCGTTGTCCCCACCCAGGCTCCCCTGGAGGTGCTGAGGGACAAGGAGTGTCCGGCCATGCTCATTCCCAGCACGCCACGTACGTCTGGAATTAGCAAGGAGTTCGTTAACGATTCGCTGGGGTTTTTTTTTTTTTTTTGGAGGCTGTTTGGGGGTTCTGGGGGTGCTGTAAGGGTTTGGGGGTTCCTGATTTCTCGGCTGAGCCACCTTTTCTGTCACGCCAGTGGCGCGGAGATGCTTCCCAGCCATCCAGGCCAAGAAGGGCGTCATCATGGTGGGCAACGAGACCACCTACGATGACGGGCACGGGCGCCGCAGGAACGTCACCGAGCTGCTGGAAGGGGCCAAGTGAGTCCCAGGCCCCTCGTTAAGAGCTGCTTCGTTAGCGCTGCTTCGCCCGTTTGGGGCGTCGGCTGCTTGCCAGAAATCCCGCACCAAAATCAAAATCCTACGTGGGAAAAGCGGAGGGCGGCAAAGGAGGCGCAGCTCCGGGGAATTGGCTGTGCAGAATTGTGGAATTTTCGTGGTTTTGGGGTCCCCCCCGGGCTCCCGCTCCGTCGGCGTTTCCCGTTTCCTTGCAGAAAAGCCAACGTGGTGCTGGAGACCCGGCAGCTGGCCATGAAGATCTTCGAGGATTACACGGTGTCCTGGTACTGGATCATCATGTGAGCACGGGGCAAAACTCGGGGGTTTTCAGCGTTTTCACCGTTCCCCCGGCTTTCCCGCAATTTCCGTCGAGCAAACCGCGAGCGGTGACATCCCTGCCGTGGTTCTCACATCCGGGGGATGCTGGGGCACAGTGGGAGGGAGGGAGGGTGGTGACAACGTGGCCTTCCTCCCGCAGAGGCCTCGTCATTGCCATGGTGGCCAGCCTCATCTTCATCGTCCTGCTGCGCTTCCTGGCCGGGATCATGGTGTGGGTGATGATCGTGATGGTGATCCTGGTGCTGGGATACGGTGAGCAGGGGGTTGGGAGCCTCTCCCTGGCTTTTCCCCATTTTCCTTTCCCTATTTCCAGTGGGGATTTTGCGCTGCAGGATTTCACACGCCGCGTCCTTCCGGGTGTCTCCTCCCTGGCCGGCGTCCGGCTCTGCCTCTCCCGTGCAAAAGGGACAATTTTTCTGCTTTTTGCTGCAGGAATCTTCCACTGTTACATGGAATATGCCAAGTTAAAAGGGGAAGCGGGGTCGGATGTGTCCCTGACTGACCTGGGCTTCCAGACCGACCTCCGTGTCTACCTCCACCTGCGGCAGACGTGGCTGGCGTTCCGTAAGCATTGGGAATTGGGGTGGGACCCAGGACGGGGCACGGGAAGGGCGGGTTTTTGGGCTGTTCCCATGAGAAAGAGGGACTTTGCTGGGTGCCCAGCCACGGGGCAGTGCTGGATGTTCCTGGGAGGAGATTTTCGTGCCGTGGGGGGAAGGTGAAGGTGGCCCTCAGGCTCCTTTCCTCTTCCAGTGATCATCCTGTGCGTGCTGGAGCTGGTGATCATCCTGCTGCTCATCTTCCTGCGCAAGAGGATCCTCATCGCCATCGCGCTCATCAAGGAGGCCAGCAGGTCTGGCTGTCCCTGTCCCCACGGCCGCTGGCACCCGTCGCTCCGGGGTTTAACTGGGGCTTAACCAGGATTTAACCAGGGTTTAAGTGAGGTTGAACCATCTTCTCGCAGGGCCGTCGGTCACGTCATGTCGTCGCTGCTGTTCCCCTTGTGCACCTTCTTCTTGTTGTGCCTCTGCATCGCCTACTGGGCCAGCACGGCCGTGTATCCTTTGCTCTTCCTCACCCTCTTCCTCATCCTCTTCCTGTTCCTTGCATCCCCATTCCCAGAAGTGTCTCCCCAGGCATGGAGCGGGATCTGATGGCGCATCCACCTTAAATCTCTGAGGTTTAACCCAAAACAAACCCTGGGGTGGAAGAGCTGCGGTGGGAGCTTGGGGAGAGTGAAGTGGAGCCTGGTTTGGATTTAGGGTTGGGTTTGGAAAACGGCCTTTCCTTAATGGTGACCTGCAGCTTCCTGTCCACCTCCAACGAGGCCGTTTACAAGGTGTTCAACGAGTCCGCGTGCCCATTCTCTGGGCACACCTGCCAGCCCGAGGTGAGGACCTCAGGAAACTCAGAACCTGTCAGAGGGGGTCACTCTGGGTTGACCAGCGTTGTCCTGTGTCCTCTCCAGACCTTCAACACCAGCAACGTCACCAAGCTGTGCCCCGACGCCCAGTGCCTCTTCGCGTTCTACGGCGGTGAGACCGCCTATCACAAGTACCTCATCGTGCTCCAGTTCTTCAACGTCTTCATGTTCTTCTGGCTCGCCAACTTTGTCATCGCGCTGGGCCAGGTGACGCTGGCAGGTGCCTTCGCCTCCTACTACTGGGCCTTCAAGAAGCCCGACGACATGCCGGCCTTCCCGCTCTTCTCCGCCTTCGGCCGCGCGCTCCGGTGCGTCCGTCCCCGCGAGGGTGGCCGGGAGCTCTGGGAGGTCGTGCCTTCATAACCGGGGTGGTCCATCCCTAGGTACCACACCGGCTCGCTGGCCTTCGGCTCGCTGGTGCTGGCCATCGTCCAGGTCATCAGGGTCATCCTGGAGTACCTGGACCACCGGCTGAAAGGTACCAGGGTTGGGATGGGAAGGGGGAGATGAGGGGGGTTGGCCTGCGGTGGGGGGTGGAATGGGATGAGCTGCGAGGCCCCTTTTAACCCAAACCATTCCATGATGCTGTGAAGTGTTTCCCAGGGCAGGAGCCAAGGGGCTCAGCCAGCCCTCCCCGGTGCCAGGGAATTCTGTGCCATGCTGCCGTTCATTGGGAAACGTCAACAGCGAGTGGGGGCGTGGGAAGAGCAGTCTGAGCCCCAAGGGGGCTGAGAACACGGCTTGGGTGGGGGAACTGTGGCAACAAGGTCTCACCAGGGACCTTAGAGTGGCTGCTGGAAGGTCCAGCCCCTCTGGCTTTGGTGCTGACCCCTGTCCCTGCGCCCTCCAGCTGCCGAGAACAAGTTTGCCAAGTTCCTCCTGGGCTGCCTCAAGTGCTGCTTCTGGTGCCTGGAAAAATTCATCAAGTTCCTCAACAGGAACGCCTACATCATGGTGAGAGTCGCCCAAAACCGACGCCCTCCAAAGGCTGGGGCTGCCGTGGGGGCAGCTCGGAGATTTCCCTGGGAATTGTGTCTCCGATGCTGTGGGAACACGGAGCTTTGCGGCGTTTTTTGGCTGAAAAACCTTGACCTCAGCCATATCCCGTTGGCTTTAGGGAGGAACTTCTGTGGGTGGGGGTATTCAGCTCCGGGTCTCTGCGACGCCTGACCCGGCAGTGGATGAGAAAGCCCTCCCAGGGTGGGATTTGCACCCTCCCCTGGGTGGTGGACTCAGTGCAGCCCCGTTTCTCTCTCGTCAGATCGCCATCTACGGCACCAACTTCTGCACCTCGGCCCGGAACGCTTTCTTCCTGCTGATGAGGAACATCATCAGGTGAGATCTGGGGGAATCACCCCACACCGTTTGCCACACGTGCCTCGGCTGCTTCTGTGGGAATTCAGGGCGGGGAGCAGATGCAGAGGCTCATCCCTCTCTTGTCTCCAGGGTGGCTGTGTTAGATAAAGTCACGGATTTCCTCTTCTTCCTCGGGAAGCTCCTCATCGTGGGAAGCGTGGGTAAGTGCTGGGTTCTGGAAGTTTCTCCTCAGTGCCTCCAGCTGCTGTCACCCCCCAAAAGCTCCACTCAAGTCACCCCTCTCGTGAAGCTGCTCCTTTCCATCCTGTTTTCCATCTTGCTTTCCCAGGAATCCTCGCCTTCTTCTTCTTCACCCAGCGGATAAAGCTGGTCCAGGACACGGCGCCGCCGCTGAATTACTACTGGGTCCCGATTTTGGTGAGCTGACCTTTCTCTTTGGGGTGACTTCAGAATGAGAGGACAGCGATGCCCCACACCAACCCCTCCCCACACCCGCTGCCTCAAGGAGTTCCTTTGTTGGAGGTGTTTTCCCGGTCGCTGGTGCAATGAGCCCTTTGTTGGTTGCTGTTGGCGCCGCGCCCGCCCGCGCTGCCCACTTTGGCCTCCATCCAGTGGTGGCTGAGGCCTTTTGTCCCCACTCGGGCCGCTCTGAACAGTCCTGCCCTGTTCACTTCTCCTCCTTCCTCTGGGGAATGTGGGATTCAGCACTTTCCTCCTCCCCCTGCTGCTCCTGGCCGGGGCTCCGGGCTCTCCGCTGGCCGCGGCATCAGCGTGCGGCGTCTCTTGCAGACGGTGATCGTGGGCTCCTACCTCATTGCCCACGGGTTCTTCAGCGTGTACGGCATGTGCGTGGACACCCTCTTCCTCTGCTTCTGTGAGTATCAGCAAAAAAACCCCCCTCTGCCATCAGGCTCACCCCCAGAGCATCCACTTTGGGGGTTTGCTCCCAGTCCTGGGCTCCCTCTGTGTGGTTTTCTCCTGCTTTTTCCTTTCCTGACTTCTCACCTGCATTCTCACCCTGCCTGCTCCAGCAGAGACCCCCAGCCTGTCCGTGGGTTCCTGCATCTCTCCCTCTGTTTTGGTGCTTTGGGCTCGGTGGAATTAACTACAACTAATCTCAATTTCCCTTTTTTTCCTCCCTATTTGCCTTCTCTTCCACCCCTCCCGTGTCTCTGGTCACACGTTCTCCATCCTCTGCCCTGTCTCTCCCTGGCTCCTCCACTGCTTTTTGCTCTTCCCCTTCACGGCTGCTTCTTCCTGGGGCTGGAAAAGGTGAAGATCTGGAGAGAAACGATGGATCTCCGGAGAGGCCTTACTACATGTCCCCCGAGCTCAGCGAGATCCTGCTGAAGGGGCACCTAGAACCTTCCAAAAGCACCGATAGCCAAGGCTAGGGCCTGGCGCCGGGCGGAGGCCACGGGACCCTCCCGTCCCCCTGACCCCAGCAGCGACTCCCACGGTGCCACTGTGTCCCCTGGAAGTCCTTCGAGGGTGGCGGGTGCCGACCCTCAGCGCCCGATGGTGTCCAATCTACCTTCCTGCCCAAAAATTCGTGTTCCTGCGTCGAGAGAACCCACCCGGAGTCGGTTGGGGGTCCCGGAAGCGCTCAGCGAGGAGCGCGGTGCCTGGAGATCATCGTGGTTTTTGGGGCAGAGATCTTTGCTCCTGAGGGAGGGCCGGCGTGGCTGGCACGAGGGATCCGGCGTGGAGGGATTGGTGGGATGGGCCGAGTGGGTTCCGCCACCCCAAACTGGTCTCTGGGCGTTTCCTCTGTGTCTGCTTCAGCCAAGAGCAGTGAAACTTTCTTTTGCCCTTTCCTCACCCCTTTCTTTCTGATTTTCTCACCCTTTTCCTCCCCCGCCCCGTCTCTATGCAAACCACAGAATTTTTTGAAGGATTTCGGGCGAGGTTGCAGAGCTTTGGCTTCACTTGTCCCTGTCCCCGTCCCAGCCATCACAGGAGCTGTCACCGGTGGCCTTTGGGACTTGGTGGCCGCTGGGACTTGGAGGGTTTCACTCCAGGCATGGGGGGAGTCAGGATTTCTCCTCCAGAAAGCCCAGAAATGATCAAGATTTTAAAAAAAACCAGCTTTTGTGCCTCAGCCACAGCTCCCAGCCAGACCCTGCCAGGACAAAGCCCTGGTGTTGATGCTCCCATTTCCATCCCAGAAGGATCCAAGTCCCTCTCAAAACACCCCCTGGGCATTGTGAGCCCGGAGCTTTGTGGCTTTGTTTGGTTTTGGGGTGTTGTTTTTCCACGGCTGGGATTTTCCAACCTCACCGGCGCGTCAGGAACGAGGGGAATCGCTTTGCGTTGGCTCCAGAGCTGTTGGGAAGAGCTAAGGCGTCCCTCCTGCCCTTGGCTCTGTTCAACTTTCCCCCGCTGAGAAACAAAACACCCAAATTCCCTTTTTCTTCCCAATCCCTGCGGGCCGTTCCCAGCTTTGCTGTGTCAGAGAGAGAAAAACCCCGTTCGGCGATGAGCCCGGGGACTTTGGGACCCAGGGACTTTAGGACTTGTTTAACCTGGGAATCGTTGTCAGAGCATCCCAGGAGCCTCCATCACGCCAACCCCATGGCTGCCCCCGCCGCGGGGCCGGCGATTTCTCTTTGCAGTGGAAGACCTGGAGCGCAACGACGGCTCGGCGGAAAAGCCTTACTTCATGTCCCAGGACCTGAGGAAGCTGCTCAAGAAGACCAACAAAGGCCAGCCCGGCGCGTAGCGCCTGTCCCACGTGGAATTCGCCTCTGTGGACCTTGGACCACCCCTGCCAGTGTGGGTGGACGGGTAAAATGCAGATTTTTTTTGATGACTCGGCCTTAAATCCTTGCGCTGGTAACGACGACGAGCTTGTCACCGCTAACGAGACGCAGAGCCCTGTGCCAGTGCCTCTCCTGGGGCAAAATCCCAATTTCCTTGGGGGGGTCAGCGACTCCGGAGCGAGGTTAGTTGTGTTTGATCCCATTTTGTAACGACCACGAGCTTGTCACCGCTAACGAGACGCCAGAGCCCTGTGCCAGTGCCACTCCTGGGGCAAAATCCCAATTTCCTTGGGGGGGTCAGCGACTCCGGAGCGAGTTTAGTTGTGTTTGATCCCATTTTGTAACGACGACGAGCTTGTCACCGCTAACGAGACGCCAGAGCCTGTGCCAGTGCCACTCCTGAGGCAAAATCCCAATTTCCTGGGGGGGTCAGCGACTCCGGAGCGAGTTTAGTTGTGTTTGATCCCATTTTGTAACGACGACGAGCTTGTCACCGCTAACGAGACGCCAGGGCCCTGTGCCAGTGCCACTCCTGGGGCAAAATCCCAATTTCCTGGGGGGGTCAGCGACTCCGGAGCGAGTTTAGTTGTGTTTGATCCCATTTTGTAACGACGACGAGCTTGTCACCACTAACGAGACGCCAGAGCCCTGTGCCAGTGCCACTCCTGGGGCAAAATCCCAATTTCCTGGGGGGGTCAGCGACTCCGGAGCGAGTTTAGTTGTGTTTGATCCCATTTTGTAACGACGACGAGCTTGTCACCGCTAACGAGACGCCAGGGCCCTGTGCCAGTGCCACTCCTGGGGCAAAATCCCAATTTCCTGGGGGGGTCAGCGACTCCGGAGCGAGTTTAGTTGTGTTTGATCCCATTTTGGTAAAACCTTCCGGGTCAGCTCGGGGGGATCCACGCGGATCTGGGCGCGGAGGTGACGGAACGAGCCGGGAGGTTCAGGCAGCTCCTCGTGGGGTGTTTTCCTTCTGCCCCCCCCTAAATATTGAATTATGGTTGTGCATTCCTGCCCGGAGAGCTGGGACGGGCTGGAATCACTTCCCATCCCTCGCTGCCCTTTGCTGACACCCCAGGGCCCTGATTTGGGCCCTAATTTATTAATTATTTTAGGAATAAGCTAAGTAGTGCTTTTGTAGCCACTGCAAGGGGTGAAGGTGGAGGGGAACGAGGGGGTCATGAGCAGAATTTGGGGCTTGAGGCTCTGTCCAGCTCTTGCACCTCTTGAGGACCTGCAGCTTCCACAGATTCCTCCCCAAAAGGTGCATCTGGTCCCCCAAAATTGTCATTTTAGGGCAAATTTTCCCCAGCTTCCCAAAGGCTTCACCTGCATGAGGGGTTTTGGGACACCCCCGCTGGGGTATGGGGAGGGGGTGTGGATGGAGCCAGGGGGATTTTGGTTTCATTCCAGGTGATTTTAGCAAAGCCAGTGGCAGCCAACACCTCAGCAGGAGGGGGAAAAAGGGATTTTTTTTGGGTGTGGAAGTCAGTTAACTCTAAAATGTAACAGAATTAACCCTCAGACCCGGCACAGCCACACAAGCAGAGCCACCACCAGCAACTGGGCTTTTTTGGGGCTCATTTGTTAAAAAAAAAACCAAAAAAACAAACAAAAAAAAAGATTTAAAGAAATGCTCTGAGGTTTTGGGGGACAATTCCCAGCTCCCAGAGGCTGGGGGGTCGCACCTTCCCCCCTCCAGTGCTCACCTGGCTCCAGGAATTGGTGCTGAGGGATCCCTTTGGCTTCATTTTATCCCAATTCCCCTGCCACCTTTAGGTTTTGTATTGTCCAGGGGACGTTTCTATGGAATTATCCAATCCTTTTGAGGGCTTTTTTGTATATTTTGCTTTTCCAGGATGTTTTCAGTTACGGTTGTTTGGAGCTTTTCCAGTGAATTTTTGGGGGCACGTTTTTAAGTTTCTCTGACGCCGCCGGGCAGAGCTTCCCTAGCTGGAATCAAACACTCTTAATTTCTCTTTTTAAAATTCCCTAAATTTTCCCTTTTTCCCCTCGGTTTTTAGTGCAGCTGATCAGTGGGCGGAGGAGTGGAAGGGAAAAACTGAAGCCAAAAAAATGCAGGAAAATGTAAAACTAGAAAGGTGAAGGGAAAGACAGAAAAACGAAGGGAAAGGTAAAAACAAAGCTAAAAAAGTAACAGTAAAGCTCAACAGAAAAGATCAAATTCAGCTAAAAAGAGGCAAATCCTCCCTGTTTGGGATAAGTGAGATTAATTCAGGGAATAATCACCAGACCTTGTTCCACTTCCAGCCATCCCAGCACCTCCAGCACGTGTCCTGCAGCTCCTGATGCTCCTTCTGGATTAATTCCGTTTTTTCCCTCCCTGTGCAGGTTTCAGGGTGGATTTGGTTTTACTTCTGCTCAGAATGTTCGTGTTGGGGGGCGAATTCTCTCTCACTCCTCGATTTTCAGCAGTTTTCCTCCTAAATCCTGACCCTTTGGGTGTGGGAACCCTGTGGGGAAGCAGCTGAGGAGTGGCAGGAACTGGGTTTATTTGCTTAAAAAGGCAGAGTAGCAGGAATTTGGAAGGCTGGAAGGAAAAGTAGTGAAGGAGAGAAAAGAAATTTGGGAAAATGTGTTCCTGGGGAAGCCGGGCTGGCTCGGCTGCCTCCCAGCTGCACAGGATTTGAGGAGAACTAAGGATTTTTATTCCAAATAAACCCAAGTGGCTTTTTTAGAGGTGACGGGGAAATATTCCTGTAAATTAGGGGTTTTTTTTGGAAAACTCAGAGCGAGGGCAGCTGTCCGGGGGAATTCGGTGTCCGGAAAAGCTTCACATCAAGACTGGGTTCCTGCTTCCAGGCAAAGCTCCGTGTTCAAGGCATTAAATGGTGGAATTTAGGAATAACGGCGCTTTTTCCCCCCCGTCTAGAAATGTGGCTTCTCTCCCTAAAAACCTGATTGTTCTGCGGGCAAAGAGAACAACCCCAAATCCTAAAAAAAATGTTAAACCCACAGGGCTGATGTTTTACAGGAAAAGGCTCGTTTTTCATGTGTTTTTGAGGCATTAAGGGTGCTGTGACACTCCGGAGTCTCCGCGCGGTTCCGTCAGCGTCGCGACCGACAATAAAAAAAAGTGCCTGTTTGGACCTCGTTCTGTTGTGTGACATCACAGGGCTCTAATGCCACCAATTCTGCCACGTTTCACCCCAAAATGGTTATTTCGGCATTTGTTCAGCTGATTTTAGTCGGTGGGGGTCACTGATTTTGGGGAGTTTTGGCTGAATCTGAGTAATTTTCCAACAATCCCTGAGCTGCAGGGTCTGTGAGAGGGGATTAAAGAGCAAAGTGCTCCTTCAGACACCTACTTCATGTTGTTTCCCTGGTCATCAAAAGCAGAAGGTGTTTTTGTCGTCAAATGCCTCCAAAAAGGCATCGTTGAGGTTGTTCCCCTCAAAAATTCAGTGGTTTTGAGGTCAAGTCACTGAAAAATCTGCATTTTTGAGGTCAAGCCCCTTCAGGAAAGGTGGTTTTTGAGGCCAAACCCCCTTCAAAAAAGGTGGTTTTGAGGTCAACCCCCTCCAAATAAGCTGATTTTGAGGTTGTTGCCCTCGTAAAAAGGCGACTTGGACATCAAACCCCTCCAAAAAAAGGCACTTTGAGGTCAAACCTTTTAATTCCTTGTTAGAGAAGGATCTTCCCGGTGGAACCCTGCCTGGGCTCAGGTGCTTTGGGGGGTCGCGCGGAAATGTCCCCTCAGGGGGATCCTCTGGGGCCATCGCTCCCCTCACGGCGTCCCCTCAGCCGGCGCCCCCCCCCCGGGCCCGTTCCCGCCACCGCTCTCGGCCCCGCCCCTCCTGCACCACCCTCCCTTTTCCTTCTCCCATTGGGCTTTCCTTCTGTCAATCGCCTCGTGCCGGGCCATCCCATTGGCTCGCGCTCGCCCCCACGCCGTTTATCCCCGCCCTCCAGGCCCGCCCCCCTCTCCTCCCCG